GGTGGTACGCCATGGCGACCCCTGACACCACCGCAGCCAAGGTTTGGAGCGTACGTGCTGGGCCTGAAACTGCAGACCAAACCTCGGTATCATCAGGTAACAAACACACATCACTAGGCCGCAGCTGCTGCAGATGGGTCTCGACGCAAGACGGGGTGACATCCTGGACATTGGGAGGGTGGACAGGTACTGCACACTGAGGAGAAACATCGCTCACAGAGCTCAGGTGTCGGCAGTCCACAAGCCTTGCAAGGTGGCAAGGGTTCCTCCCCAGCCTCCATGGCGCCGAGCCAACCCCATAACGACCGAACTGCTCTGGCCCGTGGTGCTCTCCACGCAACCAGGTCAGCCGGGATGGGCACCATGGATGGGTCCCTCCATCCTCGACGTGGGGACTGCCAGGTCCTCCAAACGTCCCAAAGTTCGGTGAGGTCAACCATACTCTCGGCATTGTGCTCGATGAAGGCGACCAAGCCAAAGATGTTGTCTGGCGCAAAATCCCGTGCTGTCCAATGAGTCCGCAGCGGTTCGATGAGCAGCAAATCCAGCTTCGCCTCGCCCAGGCGATCATAGTAGGATTGCCACGCAAGCCGCGGGTCACTCCCGGGCAGAGCCAAGACAGCTGAGCTGTTCCATGTGCCAATCCAAGGGAACTTGAATCCTCCCTGATACTCAGTACACCTCCTACAGTTCTCTTCCATGCAAGGTGACCGTCTGAAAGGGGGGAGTCCCTGCACCCCCAACCCAATTGGATGTGGGGGGAAATGATCAATTTGGCACACAGAAGCCCATAAGCGGGTGGCCTCGGCCACCAAGCCCCGCTGGAGCAGGCCCTCCACGTGCGTCTTGAACTCGTAGTAGGCGGCTGCATGAAGTAGCTCCGCATCCGTGTGGGCAGCCTCATTCCAACCGGGCCGGACGACGACGGAGGCCCTTGGCATCGAGGGGGTGACCTCCCACCTTCGTAACCTCCGTACTCTAGGGTAACGCCCTAGTAGAGGAACGAGAACCACTTAACCTAGGGTAACTCCCTAGAAGTGGCGTGGGTACCCCAGCAAAAGAAAGAACGATGAAGCCAGTTTGGCTCAGACTTGAGCCAAAATGGATTCATCAGCTTACATACTCACCCTAATGATAATGCACACCCAGTGCCTGCCAAACACGATGCATACATATATACATACATACATCCATACATCCATACATCCATACATCCATACATCCATACATCCATCCATCCATCCATCCATCCATCCATACATACATACATATATGTATACATATATATATATAACCACACCCCCACCACACCACAGGGGGCGAGGGGGACAGTACCACACCCCCATCACACCACTGGGGGAGGGGGACAGTACTATGGCTGACCCATGACCATGGCGGGGGGGAGGGGGGTTGGAACGCTGGACGCTGGACCATATATATATATACATAGATGCCGCTCATATTTTGAAAGGGCGTGCAAGATCGCCCTGAGAAAAATACTGCTACGGCAAATCAAATTACGATTCTGAACATCACACTAAGTGTGCAGTTCAACATGCTAAAGTAGAAGTAGAACAGAACCTGCGAAAACCAATGGAGTGTTGGTTCCAGACATTTGAGTTCCTATCAAATAAGCTCCAACAAACTGCAACATCTGCAACTGGGACAAACGCATTGGGGAAAAAAGTGAAAAACCAGGAAACGTTCATCACATTTCATCACCGAGGCCGTTGCCCATTTGCAAAGTCACGCTCAAATTCTGTCACCTGACGTCACATGGAGACAACCCAGCGAGCCAAGACCATTGACACCTGGGGGTTGCTAGGCTTGGGGGTCACCACTTGGACATCTTTGTCAAGCTCATCGAGCCACTCATGGCAGCTCCCTTATGCTCGATTGCAGCAACAGACCTTCCCCCTACGCCACCTTTCGGGACAGTCGAACGTCATCGTTCAGCCTTGGGGATTTGTTTTTTCATCGCAACTCTCTCCATATCAAGAGGTTTAGATTCGTACGTTACATTGGTGAGTCTCCGATCAGAATTGGTCATCCTTCGTCTATTCTTCCAAGAATCCGCCGCTGTACTAGTTTGTCGCAACCAACTCATCCGACCAGCTAAGCCCTTGGCCAGGTCAGAATTAGTTGCGACATCTTTGGATCAAAGAAGAATGAACTTGCCCTGCCTGTTGCAACTTTGGTCGCGTATGTTAGTTCAACATGCTTTGCTGCAAGCAATATATTTTCAAGATGTTCATGAATCACTGTGGCACAACATGCAGCAAAATCTCCAAGATAGACTTTGGAGAACCTTTGGGATCAGCATCATAAAACCATATTCTATTCCAATCCACATATCAACTTGAGCCGCACGTAGAACATTCAGTAGTTGCCTGGCACCTTCACGCATCTGTATATATGATATATGCAAATAGATGTGGGCACACTATGAGAACTGCTCGTGAAGTTGAGAAACATGTTTCTCTTCTGCCTTCTTTGACTCTTGAATCAAAAGTGCCTTCCTGACTTCACTTAGTCAGGAAACCAACCCATCAGGGGCTCGTGTTTTTCTCCACAGCGCTGTCGCTCAGCGAAACGGAGAGCGATCTATGGCATCCACCCGGGGGGCTAATTCGCTCACGAGTCCCAAGTCATCTCAGAATGAAACCTCCTGCAATTGCCACTTGCACATCCACTTGCAGCACTTGGAGCACTTGACAAACCAGGGCACCCTGCTACGCTAAAACATCTCTTCAATCTCTGACTTGGAATTGGCACAACAAAATCAACTATAGTTGGCTTGAACAAAAACTACCTATAAGATCTATAATCTATAAGCCTACAAAGCGAAGGAAAAGGACTTCTGCCAAGGTGCAAAACCCCGGCCTCTTCACTTTGAGCGCTGACGCATCTTGCGGCGTTTCTTTTGCAAACGGCGAGTGCGCTTCTTCTTCCACTTCCATCGAAACTTGGACCGCGCCTGGCAGAAATCATCATAAATCGATGAAGGTTAGGGTAAATGGAAGTCACGTCAAGTCACCTACCTTAGACGAGATCCCACGAGCACCGGATCTTTCTTCGTCTTTCTCCATCTTTCTCCCATCACCCTGACCTTCTTGTACGGGTTGGATTTGTGCGCCATGGTGGCCGAAGCCCCAAGACGGCTCTAGCCAAAGGCTGCAGGCGTCAATCACAAAGACAAGAGCCACCTTCTGTGCCTAGCAAGCCCAAGCCATCACAAGGAGCATCTTCAAGAGTTGTGCAACAGGCTTTCTAAGGCGAACCAAGAGTGTGTATCCTCAAAATATATAGGAAGTGTACGGAACTGTTGCTATTTTCAGACCGGAAACCATTGGGCTCCGAGAGCCTCTCAAGGTTTCTCTCATGACCAAGTATAGATTGAAAATTTGACAAAAAGCCAAAACTTCAAGATAGACTTTGGAGAACCTTTGGGATCAGCATCATAAAACCATATTCTATTCCAATCCACATATCAACTTGAGCCGCACGTAGAACATTCAGTAGTTGCCTGGCACCTTCACGCATCTGTATATATGATATATGCAAATAGATGTGGGCACACTATGAGAACTGCTCGTGAAGTTGAGAAACATGTTTCTCTTCTGCCTTCTTTGACTCTTGAATCAAAAGTGCCTTCCTGACTTCACTTAGTCAGGAAACCAACCCATCAGGGGCTCGTGTTTTTCTCCACAGCGCTGTCGCTCAGCGAAACGGAGAGCGATCTATGGCATCCACCCGGGGGGCTAATTCGCTCACGAGTCCCAAGTCATCTCAGAATGAAACCTCCTGCAATTGCCACTTGCACATCCACTTGCAGCACTTGGAGCACTTGACAAACCAGGGCACCCTGCTACGCTAAAACATCTCTTCAATCTCTGACTTGGAATTGGCACAACAAAATCAACTATAGTTGGCTTGAACAAAAACTACCTATAAGATCTATAATCTATAAGCCTACAAAGCGAAGGAAAAGGACTTCTGCCAAGGTGCAAAACCCCGGCCTCTTCACTTTGAGCGCTGACGCATCTTGCGGCGTTTCTTTTGCAAACGGCGAGTGCGCTTCTTCTTCCACTTCCATCGAAACTTGGACCGCGCCTGGCAGAAATCATCATAAATCGATGAAGGTTAGGGTAAATGGAAGTCACGTCAAGTCACCTACCTTAGACCAGATTCCACGAGCACCGGATCTTTCTTCGTCTTTCTCCATCTTTCTCCCATCACCCTGACCTTCTTGTACGGGTTGGATTTGTGCGCCATGGTGGCCGAAGCCCCAAGACGGCTCTAGCCAAAGGCTGCAGGCGTCAATCACAAAGACAAGAGCCACCTTCTGTGCCTAGCAAGCCCAAGCCATCACAAGGAGCATCTTCAAGAGTTGTGCAACAGGCTTTCTAAGGCGAACCAAGAGTGTGTATCCTCAAAATATATAGGAAGTGTACGGAACTGTTGCTATTTTCAGACCGGAAACCATTGGGCTCCGAGAGCCTCTCAAGGTTTCTCTGAGAATTGCATCCACAGCTGTCACAACCAACATGCAAAGTGTGTGAAAAGAAAGTTCTCCAATTCGGACTGGTGACTGTAATTTCAACTGTCGCATGTTTCAATGTGTCTGGCCCTCGCCATCCGACCCAAGAGTCGACCCATCAATCTGGCCCTGAGAGGTAGAAATTCTTCGAAGACGACCACAACCGCAGCGCCCAAAATGTGGAAAGCCAGACCGCTGAAAGCTCGGACAACTGAACAGAATTTCAGACAGACAAACCTACTGAGAACCCTGCAGATCCGACTGTCCGCTACCATCTTGTCAAACTGTCAAACTATTTTAGTTTTACACGATACCAAAACTTTGCTTCGCCATGTTTAGAAAAAATGATCCGCAGGTGAGAAATGGATAAGGCAGAGTTTAAAACAAACAATGGTTGCTGCAGCAAAAATGTCTGAACCATGAAGATGCACAGCACAGCATATCCTACCATGCCTACAATGTCCTGCAAGCGACCTTCGTAATCCACAGAACCTGGAAAATTCTCACAGAGTTGATTCCATAGGAAGAAACCCACATCCCGGCACATGCAAAGTGCACAAAGGAAGTCTACATAGCTGACATAGCTCCCATTTTGCAGAGTCTGAAGCACACAGACCAGGAGCTTTGCCTGGCATGCTGCAGATTGCAGAAACTTTCAGGTTCAACAGAACCTCACACTCTCTGACTTCCACCATCCAGCAATATCAGCAATAGCTCCAGGGAGTGCTCACACGGCTCACACAGAAAAATGATTGCGAAGATTCGCATCCCAGGTTGCCATGTCAGCTGGTCCGGGATCCCACAGCTCGAGACTCATCATCTGTTCGAATCTGTTCATCATGGTCTTTTGAGTCTTCTGTCTTCATCGCCAGGGGTCTTGGTGACCGTCTAGGAAATACTCGAGCGCTGAAAGTGGTACCTACGCCACTGGATCGCCTTATGCTTCCCCTTATTACTCCTTATTCTTCCCTCGGAGAGCTCGTGTGATTTATGTTGGCATGGAAGCATGATGGCTTCTGTTTCTGACAGTCAAACGTCTAGCAGCGTCCGCAACCAAGGTGGTCACAGTATCAATATCTACATCGATAAAAGGAGTGTCCCAAATCGTTGGACTGAATGATCTCTTGCAATGTGCGTAAGTGGGCCTATTGCTAACACAAGCAAAGTTGATTTTGTTCATAAAGGCCCAAGCTCCCCACTCACTGTGGGCGTTGGTGGCTGGCTCCCACGGACTGTCGTATCCACTGAGGCCTTCCTGTACGGCTGGGATAATGTTTGGCCGGAAACAGCTTACAAAGTGCGCAGTGTCGATGGAATCCTGCTGCAGCTCCACGACATAACTCCCTGCTGGCAAAAACAACGACCAACTCATCCCAGCTCCGAAGGGCTGCACCAGAATGTCCACGAAGTCCAAAGCCAGCCGCACCTGCACCGGATGGTAATCTTATCCAAACAGAAAAGACGTCAAATAGGCTCCAAGTTTAGCTCCAAACTGAAACCCCAACAGTCATAGTACCAAAGTTGTTTCCTTTGCGAGTGAAAATGTTGCACTATCTAGCGGGAACATGTGCTCAGAACACACGAGCACATGCTGGACTCTTCTCTGGACCCCTTAAAACCTTTCAGAATGCTGTGCTGGCCACAATTTGTTGGATCGACAATACTAAACCATATAGTTTCGAGGGTACCCAATTGAGACGAAATTGACCACCGACCTGATCTACGATGGACAGCTTCTCCCAGGATAAGTACATCAAATGCAACGGTGGGGTACGTCTCACCAACTCGGCTAGGGCGTCAAAAACTGCCTTCTGGTTTGAAATTCTTCGCTGCAAACCTTCCGGATCATAAACTTTAGCCGTTCTGTAGGCGAAGAGCAAACCGAGGCTGTTAGGATGGAAATGCCCCAGGTGCTCTGCCAAGTTTTCTGCAAATCTTTTGTCATTGTCAACTCCAGGTGTCAGGTGGTATCGGAAAGTTCGCCTGAAATGCTCTGCATCCCTCCAATCCAAATCCCCGTGGAGTCGCAACGAAGGATCTGGAAAACCCCAAAGGGCAACTTTGTAGCAATGACACTCGTCGTCCTGAAGCTCTTGAATGCTTCTCACTCGAGGCGAAAGCATTTGCAAGAAAAATTGAAAGCGATTGTTTTTTAAGCCCACTGTTTCTGGCGAATCTCCATATGGCACCAGAAAGACATCAGTCTTATCAGGTTCCAACTTTTCTGGACCTCGAATCCCATCTCGGAGCCACAAGGCCAACAACAGTTTCCGAGTCTTCTCGCCTCCGAACAATGCTAATGCTGGAAGAAACCAAGTAAAAAAACCTGTAGGATGGGTCAAGGACCGATGTGGAACCACGCTGAGTGGCAAGAGCAAGGCAATACGCGAGGACCAATTACAGCTTTTTGTAGAATTGAAGGAGAACACCTTCAGCGGCGTAAAGTCCAACATC